CCTAATCATCTATTCCACGTATAGTCGCAAGTCCTCATTATGTGAGGTCGGATCCATACTCCCCCACTATGTCATCGAATAAGGGATCGGAGGGTGTTCGAAAGGGGAGACAGCACTCTTAATTGGTTTAGGAAAACATAGGAAGTCCCTTCTTAATAGGTAATGGGGCCATTGCCCAGGTGGAGGTGGGTGGATAAGGGTGACACTCCCAGTGGGAAGGTGTGGTTCCAACGGGCGCAGGCTGATCACCCCATTCACTCAGAAAGGGGGAAGAGTAATAAAAAGGATACTGCTACCAGGGTTGAGGAGGGGCCGTGGAGGGCCATGGAACCAGCTGGTTGGGCTGTGATGCTGGAGTTGGGTGTGTGGAATCGACTCAAAATTAGGCTCTAGCTTGCCCTCTGAACATGATCGGGCCGGAGAATGCAAGTGTGGCAATGTGGTTCTTAGAGGCGGGATATCCTGAACCAGTACCAGGATCAACGTTGGAACCGGTGCTGGAACCAATGGCATTGGAACCAGTGGAGAAGCCTGAACTGGGGAGATCCAAGAGGCCAGGTGGCGTTTATCACGGTGCCTCTCTTTATGCTTTGATTTCACCCTAACTTTCTTAGGAGGCAGTTTGGAAGCGGAGCGAGACTGTCTGGGTGATGCTGACCAATGCCTAGTAGGGACGAAGGTTGGATCAGACAGGACCAATGTGACCAAGATGGATCAGACGGGACCAATGTGACCAAGTTAAGGCAGGAGACTTACTATTGAAGGCATGCTGTCGCTCCACCAAAGTGCAAGACTTTGTAGCTGAGCTCTCAGGACATGAAAGAGCTTTCTCTGAAAGGCTAGGCTGTAGTCTCTCTGCCCTATCGGACCTTGCCTTAGGTGTAAACTGGAGGCAGAACTCGCAGCTTACTGTGTTGTGACCTTCACCAAGACAATGAAGGCTTAAAGAATGCCCATCAGAGCAGGTCATCTTGGTCCCACACTTTTTAAATAACACTTTCTGCAACATGGTAAAGCTGAGGAAAATGATAAGCTGGAAAAACGTCTTTGCTCAATGGCAGCAAAAAGAGAACTGAGGGAGGGAAGCCTCCCCCCCCCCAGGAGCACATGACTGGGCAGGAAAATGTGTCTCTGGCCCCGGGGAGGGGCTCCCACTTAAGCTTTAGACAAAGAGAAAAGCCGGGAAGGAATACTCTGGTGGTTGGCCTGCACAAGCACAGTCCTCAGTATGGGACTGCACAGAAGACCACAGATGAACATCTAATTCTAGCTTTGCAGCATTTTCACAGGCTTCTAATTGGGTATGAGGCCCAATTCAAAGTGCTGCTGTTAACCTTTAAGCCTTAAATAATTGGGGCCTAGGTTGTCAGAGGCTGTTTTCTTCTACTTGATACTACCCAAACTTGGAGGCTCTGCTGCATGCCCCTCCACCAACTTGAGATATGTGTGGGTTGAAGATACAGTGGCACCAGTTACAGTGCTCCTTCCCAAGGGAAGTTCACCCTATCTGTCCCTTGTTGCCTTCAAGTGTCAGGCAAAAGCAGAGTATTGTTCTGCAGAGTGTTTAATGACAGGGATCCTCAGCCTTCTTGAGCCAACAGGCACCTTTGGAATTCTGACACAGGGTGGTGGGCACAACTACAAAAGGCTACTGCAGGAGGCAAAGCCAACCACCATGTCAAAGAGTGAGTTCATACATGACTCTAAACCCCACTTGGCCCCACCCATTTTCTAAAAACACTTGGCAGGCACCAGGAACAGTGTCAGTTGGTATCATGGTGCCCAGAGACACCACATTGGAGTGTACGATTTGTATTTGGACAATAGTTTGTTGTTCAGTTGCCTTGAACTAAAAGGAAAAGCGAAATATAAATGTTTTAATAATAAAATAAGTCATTCGATTTGCTGCCAATTATGGCTAATAGGATTTTATATATTTGGTTTTCTGCATTTTGTGTTATTTTTGCTGATTTACATCTGTTATTATAGTTTATACATCACCATGAGCTGCCTTAGATAACTCCCCCCCCCCCAATCCAGGCTACAAATACTTTAATAAAGTAAAAAAACAAAAAGCTGTAGGGGCAGGTACCATCCTAGAAGCCACATTCCCTCCCTCTCTCACACACCAGGAGTGAATATTACCTGTTGTGAAATCTTACATACATCGTCTAAAAACAAGGCAGGCCCGAAATTATTATATGCTCAAAAATGGAAAGGTTTGACAATACCTACGGTAGAGGAATGGTTGATAAAGTTGCTAAAACTTGCAGAGATGGCTAAGCTTACTGCATTGATTAGAGAAAAGACAATTTCTACTTTTGTTGACAACTGGAAACCCTTTATACACTTCTTGTGCAACATGGAAAAGAATGATTTGATGATTAAGGCAGGATACTAGGTAATAGATAATGGGGGGGGAAGAAAAGAGTTTATACACACACACACACACACCACTATGGAGTGTTCAGGGCCGGCCCAAGGGGTTTCTGCGCCCTAGGCGAGGTGCAGATGCCAATCTCCTGGTGGGGCCTGCACACCTCCCCTCTGGAGACTGGGGTTGCCCCCCCCAATCATCCACTCTCAGTCCACTCTCTTTCCCCCTGGATCCCGCTGTATGGACTGACCCCATCTGGCCGGAAAGTGCCTTCAAAGCGGATTCTGTAGTTGGAGGGATGGAGTCGCACCTTCACTGCCTTCCTCTCGCTCAACCCGCAGGAAGGGCTTCCCGGGGGGGACACTGCTGTGCCTGCCTGTGCTGCGCCCCTCCGTGTCCTTTTGGCGGGGGCTGGGGGGGCTTTGGTGGGGGGGCGCCGGGTCCTGTTTGGTGCCCCTAAGGGCCGGCCCACACTCTAGGCGAATGCCTACTTCGCCTAGTGGGTGAGCCGGCCCTGGGAGAGTAATATTATCTGTATCTGTCACAGGCTCAAGGTTCATGAATACATTTTAGCAAGCCCTAATACCTCCTTTTATTTTATTT